TGAGTTCAGCTTTGAAGGATGTTGAGTGGGCGTCTAGTTTTACTGAAACTTACTTCCTGACGTCACACCACAGAAACCACAGGTAACCAGACGCCTCCATCTCAGGCCACAGACGCCTTCACACGGTACAGTCTCCAGTGAGCCCTTGGCATGCCGCGCGACCTCCCAACACACGATGGCGCTCTCGCAACGATAGTAGGAGCAGTGGCGCTCTCTATTGTCGCATATTCTTGAGGCCGGAAGAATAAGAGGGCAAAGGTCACGTAGACGGCGTGCCCCACCCCCGTACGCCTAAGTTCTCGTGCGACTTCCATTTCCGCCCTTTTGGCTCTCTGAGCAGCACCATGGCGGTTGGCAAGAATAAGCGGCTTACGAAAGGCGGCAAAAAGGGAGCCAAGAAGAAAGTGTAAGTGGCGACTGTTGTGGCTCTCCTGCTTTTTGGGGGTCTGCTGGAATCGGCGGGCTGGTCCTAGGTCGCGGCATAGGCCGGATGGCGAGGATTCCAGTCGGATTGCGCGGGCCGTAGCGGGTTGGTGAACCCAGGAATGCGGCCTGGCGGATCTCCGTGCTGAGTAGCGGCAGGTCGGCTGCCTTTCCCAGGCCTGCTCCTTGCGCCCGTCGCATTTTAGCCGGCTTGCCGCTGCGACTCGGCTGGAATGTTAGTTTTGTGGGCTCACGGCTGCTTCAATTCCGCGGGTATTTGATGGTACTGCGAGAGCAGGAGTTCAGGAAAGCACCCTTTTAGCCATTCAGGACCTGTCCGTCCCGCCTCTGCTTGGTCCCAGTGGAAACTGCGAGCTCCCACTAAGCTTTGAGGCCATGCGGGATCTTAGTTACCAGTACATGGCCATTACGTACCAGCAGTAATGAGATTGCATGTTATTCGTGCTTGTGTAGTGGAAGGACCGATGAGGGTGGGAAGTGGGCATAAGTTTTCAAAGTCTAATGCATGCAGTGAAACACAGTAGGGAGAGCTAGATTTATGTATGTGCCTCTCACAAACTACTCCAGTATCAAATTGGCGGCTAGCTTTTAAAAATATTGATGGGAAATAGTATTAACAGTGGCATTAGAATGAAGAAAGCACAGAATAATCTGCAACGAAATTTAAGCATTTTCTTAAAATCCAGGGTTGATCCATTTTCTAAGAAAGATTGGTATGATGTGAAAGCACCCGCTATGTTCAATATAAGAAATATTGGAAAGACGCTAGTCACCAGGACCCAAGGAACCAGTAAGTATCTTATTCTTGGTTTGTATTTTCTTTAAATTGGCGTTTGTGTATTGTAGCAGGCATATTGGTCTATTGTTGGTCCTGTGGTGAGAGACTTAAAGGAAATGTCATTTGTTGGTTGCAGCCTTGGCACCTCTGGTGCTTGTTTTGAGTACAGCAATTGTAGAGGCAAGAAGGTGCTTTTTGAATTAAGAAAATGTGCATAGGTAGGTCTGGATTTCTAATAAGTACTGTCGATAAGTTATTGGTGTCTGGATAGATTTGATAACAAAGGTTAAGGTCTTTATAATTTACCATTAACTTAATTTTTACCCTCAGTTTAGAGGCCTGTGTTTACATGGTTCCTAAATGTTAAGACACTTGGTTTTTCTTTTGTAGAAATTGCATCTGATGGCCTCAAAGGTCGCGTGTTTGAAGTTAGTCTTGCTGATTTGCAGAATGATGAAGTTGCATTTAGGAAATTCAAGCTAATTACTGAAGATGTTCAGGGCAAAAACTGCCTGACTAACTTCCATGGCATGGATCTTACCCGTGACAAAATGTGCTCCATGGTCAAAAAATGGCAGGTGAGACCCAAAGTTCCTTAGAGTCTGTATGTAGTGCTATGAGTGTTTGACCAAGGATAACATGGTTTGATGACTGCAAGGAGCATATCCTGTATTGAGGTTTAGAGTTCATTTTAAATTTTTGTTTTCTTGCCATTATTGAGTGCTAACTCGGGTTGCCACACCATATTTCACTTAATGTTTAAATCTGAGTTGTTTTGTTGGTTTTGTTGAGACAGTGTCCCTCTGTTGCCCAGACTGGAGTGCAGTGGCAGGATCTCGGCTTACTGTGACCTCCACTTCCCAGGTTCAAGCAATTCTCTTGCCTCAGCCTCCCAAGTAGCTGGGATTACAGGTGCGCACCACCACCACCACCAATTAATTTTTGTATATTTAGTAGAGATGGGGCTTCACCATGTTGGCCAGGCTGGTCTCGAACTCCTGACCTCAGGTGATCCACCTGCCTCAGCCTCCCAAAGTGCTGGGATTACAGGCATGAGCCACCGCGCCCTGCTAAATCTAAGATTTAATAGTGGTATACCATAATAGTCAGATTTTCTTGCATAGATTAGTGGCTTTTTGAGGAATATCGAGGTGCAGGTGGGCAGTTTTGCCTGTCAGGATATTTTTGGACCTCAGAATTTAGTGGATTTGGATTAACTGGCAATAGAGCATAATTGTGGCAGAGCCTGTGGTGTGAGGTTAAAAATCTTTGCCCTATTTCCCTATTGTGTTCTCTTTGGAAAGTATCTTTTTTTCTTTTTTCTTTTTTTTTGGGAGACAGAGTCCAGCTCTGTTGCCAGACTGGAGTGCAGTGGTGAGATCTTGGCTCACTGCAACCTCTGCCTCCTGGATTCAAGTGCATCTCCTGCCTCAGCCTCCCTAGTAGCTGGGATTATAGGCACACACTGCCATGCTCTACTCATTTTTGTATATTTAGTAGAGGTGGGGTTTTACCACGTTGACCAGGATGGTCTCGAACTGACCTCATGGTCTGCTCGCTTTGCGCTCCCAAAGTGCTGGGATTATAGGCATGATCCACCACACGTTGCCAAGTAACTTGTTTTCTAAGCCTCGGTTTATCTGTAAAGTGTAGATAAGAATATCATTTTATTGAATTGTGAGGATGAAATGAAAATGTTTCAGATGTGTCTGGCTAACCATCCAGTTGGAATATTTTGTGGGAGTGTTGTGTTTTGGGGAGACTGAATCTCACTTTATCACTCAAGCTGGAGTGAAGTGGCGCCATCTCTGCTCACTGTAACCTCCCCCTCCTGGGTTCAGCCTCCCGAGTAGCTGGGATTACAGGCACCTGCCACCACACTTGGCTAAGTTTTATATTTTTGGTAGAGATGGGGTTTCACCTTCTTGGCCAGGGTGGTCTTCAACTCCTGACTTCAAGTGATCCGCCCACCTCAGCCTCTCAAAGTGCTGAGATTACAGGCATGAGCCATGGTGCCTGGGGTAGTTGGAATATTTTGTATGTGGGAATGAATGAGGACAAAATGTTTCGGTCCCATATGATGCATACTGATCATACCGTTAGATTTATGCTGACGTTCCCCTAAAGCTTTCTGGTTACATTTCTGGAAATATTTTAAGGTCCTTTGGCTGTAAATTCTATTGATGAGATTTTTTTTGTTTTGTTTTGTTTTCCTATACAAAGGTATAAAATTTACAAAATGCAAACAAGGCAAATCAGTTTTCATCACTACCCAATATGGTTTTTGGTTTTTCAATTTAGGCAATATTGTGACAATTAGGGGTTTTAAATTATATTTTAGCTGTGAAATTGGGTATTTAATCAGCATGGCTTTGGTTTGGAACATAAAGGAATCTTTCACAGTGTGCATTTAGAGTTATAGCAATCACCTATTCACAACAGTTTTTTGAAAAATGACATCATTGTAGATGTTCATATCATAGAACACCATGGATCCTCTCAGAACCTGTTTTCCTCTTGTGTAGTTTTATATTTGATGGGGATGAGCTGTTGAAAGGGGTATGTGTATATGTAATGGATGTGGGTTTGGGTCCAGTTGAGATCGTGGGTAGTAATGATGGGGGTAGAAAGGAGAAAGGGCAGTTGAGACGACTTGGTTATTTAATTGGTTAATAATTTGGGGGTAACTGTTGGTAAGTTCAAGAAAGTTAATTCTGTAAGCTAGAGATGTTATTTATAATTAGGATACTTCATATATTTAATAATGAGCATTTGACAGTCCAGCTTTTCAAAATTAGAACTTGAGGGATAAATGGATAACGTAAAATCTATTGTATCTGACAGTATCTTTTTTCCTCTAGACAATGATTGAAGCTCATGTTGATGTCAAGACTACCGATGGTTACTTGCTTCGTCTGTTCTGTGTTGGTTTTACTAAAAAACGCAACAATCAGATACGGAAGACCTCTTATGCTCAGCACCAACAGGTCCGCCAAATCCGGAAGAAGATGATGGAAATCATGACCCGAGAGGTGCAGACAAATGACTTGAAAGAAGTGGTCAATAAATTGTAAGTGTTTCTTTCCTTCCTCACACAACATACCTTGAGTACTAGATTATTCCTCAGATGAGGGAAAGCATATGAGACAAGGTAAAGATCTGAAATCTTGTCTGTGAATCCTTCTAGCTATGTCCCTTTAAGTGAAAGAGTGTTAAGTACTCAGTAAATATCATTATTATTTGAGTCAGTCTCTTTCTGTTGCCCAGCCTAGAGTGCAGTGGTACAGTCTTGACTCAACCAGCATTTCCCGGGTACAAGCAGTTCTCAAGCCTTAGCCCCGAGTAGCTGGGAATACAGAGGCCTGCCACCATGCCCAGTTAGTTTTTTTTATTTTTAGTAGAGATGGGGTTTCACCACGCTGGCCAGGCCGGTCTTGAACTCCTGACTTAAAGTGAGCTGCTAGTACTCTGTAAATGCGATAGTTAAAAAAAAATTTTTTTTGAAGAAGCAGTCTCACAGTAGAGCTGAAGGGCAGGAAATGTTTTTGCCGACTTGGAAAATACACTGAATAAGCTGAGTACAGTGGGATGTGCCTGGAGTCCCAGGTACTCAGGAGGTTGTGGTAGGAGGATTGTTTGAGCCAGCCTGGGCAGTGTAGGGAGACCCTGTCACAAACCAGAAAATATACATATATATACACACACACACACACACACATACACAAACACATGGACACACAAAGATAGATAAAACCTTTCATGATTAATAATGCATGGGAATAAGTGATGAAAAAAGTTTCGGTCCCAGATGATGGCCAGTGATAAACTTAACGTTTTCTGATGTTCCCTTGCAATACACAGTTAAATAAGAGGGTGTAACGGAAAAAGCGTAAGACTTGGACTCAGAAGACTCTACTAACTTTGCCACTAGCTAGCTGTGTAATTCAGATCATCTATTCTTTCGGTGTGAAAGGAAGATAATAGCTTATCTTATAGGAGGATTTATGCAGGTTAAATGAGGTGGTGTTACATGTATAAATTTATTACAGGGCTTCCCTACTTTTAAAGGAAATGGCTTATCCCCTTATTATCTTGAGAACCAGGACTTGATGAAAAAAAAATTTACTGTTACTGGTTTGCAGGATTCCAGACAGCATTGGAAAAGACATAGAAAAGGCTTGCCAATCTATTTATCCTCTCCATGATGTCTTCGTTAGAAAAGTAAAAATGCTGAAGAAGCCCAAGTTTGAATGTAAGTGAGAAATCCCATGATTCCCGTGGGGCCAAATACATTGTTTCTAGGTGGGGGAAGAGGAGTTGGGGCTATATCATGGCCGCCTTTTTCTTCCTGTCACGCTTGCATAGTAGTGGTGACCATTGTTTCAAGATACACTATCACTAACAGGTTTTTTTTTTTTTTTTTTTGTTTTTTTTTTTTTTTTTTTTTAGTGGGAAAACTCATGGAGCTTCATGGTGAAGGCAGTAGTTCTGGAAAAGCCACTGGGGATGAGACAGGTGCTAAAGTTGAACGAGCTGATGGATACGAACCACCAGTCCAAGAATCTGTTTAAAGTTCAGACTGACAATAGTGGCAAATAAAAAGTCTTATTTGTGATGGTTTGCTTCTGAACATTCTTAGTAAATTTGATAGCTGGTAAACTTTTCTGACCTGTTTATGGAGTTTATTATCTTCTGCTTCTCACTAGCTATAAAGTGAACAAATTGGATATAAGTGTACTACTATGCACCTTTACCGTGAAGCTGAAAAGGGGCAGAGAAGCTGTTAACAAGCGGGCATTTAGTGCTATCCCCTTCCAGTCACTTGATCATTCAGTTTCTGCGTCTTAAGCCTTCAGTTTTCTCATTTGCTTAGCTGATAACCTTGCTTCCTATAGTCACTAAAAAAGTTGTAAAGCAGATGAGAAAAGAACCCCACAAATTTCCACTACTTCTACTCTGCCACCTATGCATATGTTAATCATTACTGCCTTCTGTCATACCACTGGATGGATTGTGCTAAGACGTAAGACAGCCTCTTTTTTTTTTTTTTTTTTTTTTTTTTTTGCCTAATCAGCCTCATGGCTCCAGCAGTTCACACCTTTATCAATTCCTTTTGGCTGTCCTTCCCATCACCATACAAACACTAGTATACCCTTCCAGAGCACCTTAGCTCCTTTATGGCAAAGCTCAAAGGAATTTTTCATATAGCTGTATCATTTTTTTGATTTTTTAAAAAACTTTTTACACATAAATTATATTTTAGAGGCCAGGCACAGTGGCTTACATCGCTAATCCCAGCACTTTGGGAGGCTGAGGTGGGTAGATTGCTTGAGGTCAGAAGTTCAGGATCAGCCTGGCCAACATAGTGAAACCCCATCTCTACTAAAAAAATTAAAATTAGGTGTGGTGGTGGGTACTTGTAATCCCAGTTTCTTGGGAGGCTGATGCATGTGAATCACTTAAACCTGGGAGGTGGAGAGTGTACCACTCCATTCCAGCCTCGGCTACAAAGTGAGATGGTCTAAAAATTGCCAAATGTGGTAGCTCACGCCTGTAATCCCAGGACTTTGGGTCGCTGAGGCAGGCAGATCATCTGAGGTTCGGCGTTTGAGACCAGCCTGACCAACGTGGAGAAGCCTCACCTCTACTAAAAATACAAAGTTAGCCAGGCGTGGTGGCGCATGCCTATAATCCCAGCTATTCAGAAGGCTGAGGCAGGAAAATTGCTTGAACCCAGGCTGTGAGCCGACGTTGTGCCATTGCACTCCAGCCTGCGCAACAAACTCTCAGAGTATATATGTTTTTGAATATATATTTTTATATATGGTGTGATCATAGATCACTGTAACCCCAAACTCCTGGCTGGGCTCAAGCCGTTCTCCCAGGCCTGAATAACTAGAACACAGGTCTGTGCCACCACACCGTTTTTTTAAGACAGTCTCGCTTTGTCACCCAGGCTGGAGTGAAAGTGATTTCGGCTCACTGCAACCTCCATCTCCCAGGTTCAAACGATGCTTGTGTCTCAGCCTCCCCAGTAGCTAGGATTATAGGTGCCCACCACCATGCCTGGCTAACTTCTGCATTTTTTAGTGGTTTTGCCATGTCAGCCAGGCTCCTCTTGAATTCCTGCTCTTAAGTGATCCTCCCGCCTCAGCCTCCCAAATTGCTAAGATTACAGGTGTGAGACACTGCGCCCGGCCCACCCTGCTAGTTTTTAAGTTCTTTGTAGGGTCTTGGCTGTTATGTCCAGACTGGTGCCAAATTCCTAGCCTTAAGGGATCCTCCTGCCTGAGCCTCCCAAAGTGCCAGGAGTATAGGTGTGAGCCATGGTGCCCAGCCACATTTTTTAGTTTTTATTTTTCTTGAACTTGCTGTAGTTAGGCTTTTCCCTCACACCACTCCAAGAAATTTCATTGTGAAGATTAGCAATGATTTTGTTGCTAAGTCTGGTGGTCCATTTTCAGTCTTTTACTTGACCTTTATTAGTGATTTTTGCTTGCTGTCACCTCATCCTATTAGTGACTGTTGACAGTTGATTTCTTCCTGATTTTAACTATCTTCCAGAACCTCAACTCAAAGCTTTTCCTCTGAAATCACTGGCTACTCCTTTACTAGCTAATATCTTAGACTTTTAATCAGTTTTAGAAGGCCCTAGGGCTTGGTCCTTAGACATTTCTATACTCTCCCTAGGTTCTTGGTTTTAATGGAGATGATTTTTTCAGTCTCTGTAGAGACTCAAAAATTGCCAATGCCGAATATATTGCAAGTCATCACAGTGGGGTATTTGGAAAAGTTTTCAATTAGCAATAATCGCGCCTCGGATAAACCTCATTGGCTACGATACTGCCACTGCACAAAGCTTAATGGAGATTTTTATATTTCTAGCCTATACTTTTCTTTGGGAGATACAGCTTTGTCTAAGGGCTTACTTGATATCCCCACTTGGATGTCAGGCATTTAATGTTCTAAAATGGTACTATCTCAATTGTACCCACCCTTTTGGTTGCTTAGGCCAAAATCCTCTGTGGTCATTCTTGACTATTCACAGTTGTTTCAAACTATATATATCTGGAGTCTAATCAGTTATTACCGCCTTTTGCTATTTGAAACAAGCCACCATTACTACTTGGATTCTTACTGTCTACCTTGTCTCCCTAAGTCCTCTCTTGTGGAAGTCTTTTATTTTTTGTGAACAGGATCTCTTTCTGTTGCCCAGAATGGAGTGCAGTGATGTAATCACAGCTCACTGCAGCTTTGCATTCCTGAGCTCAAGCAATCCTCCTGCCTCAGCCTCCTGAGTAGCTGGGCTACAGGTGCATGCCACTATGGCTGGCTAATTTAAAAATATTTCTTGTAGAAATGGGGTCTTTCTATATTGCCAAGGCTGGTCTGGAACTCCTGATCTCAAGTGATCCTCCTGATTACAGGTGTGAGCCACTGCACCAGACCCCGAAAGTCTGTTTTACATGATTCAAAGATCCCATGTGATTTTGTCTCTTACTCCTATTCCACTTGCCCTTTCCTATGCTTGAAATAACTTTCCTTTATGTGGCTACAGTGTTTACCTTCACCTCCTTGAAGTCTCTGCTGTTTTTCTTTTTTGAAATGGAGTCTCTCTCTGTTGCCAGGCTGGAGTGCAGTGGTGTGATCTTGGCTTACTGCAACCTCCGCCTCCTGGATTCCAGTTATTCTCCTGCCTCACCCTCCTGAGTAGCTGGGTTTACAGGTGTGCACTACCATGCCCAACTAATTTTGTATTTTTAGTAGAGACAGGGTTTCACCATGTTGGCCAGGCTGGTCTTGAACTCTTGACCTCAGGTACTCTGTCCACCTCGGCCTCCCAGAGGGATTACAGGTGTGAGCCACCATTCCTGGCCGGTTTTTTTTTTGAGATAGGGTCTGGCTCTGTCACCCAGCTGGAGCGCAGTGGCACGAGCTTGGTTCACTGCAGCCTCCACTTCCCAGGTTCAAGTGATCCTCCCACCTCAGCCTCCTCAGTAGGTGAGACCACAGTTGCCTGCACCATTCCCAGCTAATTTTTTAATTTTTTTTTAGAGGTAGGGTTTTCCCATGTTGCTGATGCTGGTCTCCCAATTCCTGAGCTCAAGCAATCCACCAGCCTCGGCCTCCCAAAGTGTTGGGATTACAGGCGTGAGTCACTGTGCCCAGCCTGTTCTTTCAATATATAGTTTCAAATCTTTTGTGGGACAGGCGCAGTGGCTCAGGCTTGTAATACCAGCACTTTGGGAGGCCAAGCCAGGCAGATCACTTGAGGTCAGGAGTTCCAGACAAGCTGGTCAATGTGGAGAAAGCCTGTCTCTACTAAAAATACAAAAATGAGCTGGGCTTGGTGGCATGGACCTGTAATCCCAGCTACTCGGGAGGCTGAGGCAGAATCACTTGAACTCGGGAGGAGGAGGTTGCAGTGAGCTGAGATCGAGCCACTGCACTCCAGCCTGAGAGACAGAACCAGACTCTCTCAAAAAAAAAAAAAAAACATCTCTTTTTGTGGGTAAACTTTTCCTAAATTTCAGTTTTCAGCATTCTGTTTCCTTGCTTTGGTTCTCTGTATCAGGGACTTCTTTGCCTCTTATCTTATAGCAGCTACACTTATAATTCCTAACCATCCATGTGATACAATCCTTAGTGCAGGCTGAGTTGGCAAATTGCTGCTTATGGTAAATCTGGCCAGTTTCCATTTTTGTATAGTCTGCAAGCCGAGAATGATTTTTATATTTTTATAGATTTGAAAAAATACTGCCTGTGAAAATTATATGAAATTCAAAATAAATATAAATATCCACTAATAAAATTGTATTGGAACATAATCATACTCATTTATCTT